TGACTTGCCAGCGCAGGAGTACACACGTCTCTATATTATGTCTTTACCAGCCCTCATGCCATTATCTCTTGAAGGTGCCAAAGAAGCCATGGTACAGTGGGGAGGGACACAATACGGCGAGGAGGTGCTCGATCAAATATATCTTTTCTCTGCTGGGGTCCCACGACTTCTGGGACATGTGTTTCAAACAGATGGTGAATTAAGATCAACTTTTGAGATTGCATTCAATGCCATGTCCGAATGTTTTGAAAGTTCCTATCGATCTGCAGCGCCTTTCTTTGATCAACCAAATGCGGCATTGTCGCTGGTTCTTTGCTCAGCAGTTCGTTGGAACGCAACCGACAGTGAGCTTGTGCCGGGCACACCGCAAAGGTGGCTAGATATTTTCAACGCGGGAGCCGCATTTCCAACTGGCGCTTCTGTGTTGGTTCCGCTCGTTTGGTGGTTTCGTGATCAGAAAAGACGGAAACTGCTGGCTCAAAAGGCCCGAGAGTTGAACATCAGCCTCGAAGGTCTCTTGCCAGATCCTGCCGATTTGCTTCAGGCTCCACAACAAGGCCCGCTTTCCCGAGGGACACTGTGGGAAGAGCAGGTTTGCAATGCTTTGGCCGCCCGTTTTTATTTGTATTGCCTGGCAGATCAAAAAACTCCATGCGACACCTACATACCTTTTCTAGATATCTATCCTACGACAGACGACCATTTACGCAGTGTATTGGAACAATTCAGTGTTTGCTGGAGTGACGGGGTCGAGTATCCAAAGAAGGAAGCAAGTGTCCTTGACAGGGTCGGGAAGGCCATCAAATGCAACAAGAATTTCAAGAGTGCTCACCATGACTTGCTGATCCCTGTGAAGCGAATTGAAACAGGACAGCTGGAGTACATAGCCGCACAGTGCCGTTACGGAAGTCCCAAAACTGCAAAAGAGTTGACTACAACATACCAGGACAAAACCAGAAAACCCAGGACCAGTGACCCGAGCTCGGAGGTTCCTGACATGCCGAATGTACTGTTGCAAATTTGTTCCGCAAGTGAAGGGACGCAGAAGTTCCAGAAAGCTACACCCTGGGCAAAGCGGCAAGAGGAGAAGAGATATTCACTGATGAGCTGTAAAGCTATCATTGCGCAGCTTCACATGCTCCGCATCTTGTGATACAACGGCGACGGAGCCGCATGTGGACAACCGAATCATGTAGCTATGGCTTTAGCGTGGCATGGCCAAAGTTGCCTCTTTAGTGAAGATGCTGAGGCATTTTGGAAAGCTTTGCTGCCTACCGACCGGATTTTAAGTTGCCTACCGATGAATTTCTATTTGTGACACCGATGATCATGCAAACCTTGATCCGGAGTAGCTGAATGGCAGCTTATTCTGCTCAAACCCCATGCGCGCTCGAATTCTTCAGGACAGCAAAGTGCGACTTGTTTCCTGCCACCAAAGATGCCAGTCAGACATGTCAAAAAAAAAGTTTGATTTGACCCAGCAAAGTCAAGATGATGTGCCTTTTCAGTATGATACATTCCGAGATTCGCAGGCAACTCTTGAGGCTGTGCACCTCCCCTGGAAGGCATGGCAAACAATGAACGTCATGAATTATATTCGATATTCAAACTTCATATACCTCAAGACCTAGAAGTTTTTTTTGCTAACAGAAAATTGGCTGTTGTGCATGTTTGGATCTCCTTGACAGGAGTGGCAATGTGGTGGCGTACCAATCGTATCCTTACGTGTCATCGAAAGGTGGAAGGGCAAGGCCAGTCTGTCTCCATACCTTTCGTGAATACAAACAAGAGACCACTTGCACCACATAGTTTTTGCGAGCACGAGACACCAATTTGCTCAGCCAAAGCCAAGAGAGTCAGCGTCGATTGCAACAAGATTTTGGGCAGCTCAAGATGGAGAGAGATCCCGTTTTTCCCAAAAGCATCCGATGCTTGGGTTCTCGTTTAGTTTGAGTTTCGGGGGCGGAGCGACGGTCGATGGTAAAAAGGTTGGACGATCCGAGGAGCAGGGTGGGGGCGGGGCTGGGATGTCCGGGCAGAGGGAGAGGGTGGTGATTTGGCGGGGTGGTGATGTGGAGGGCGGGGTGGTGACGTGGCGATGCGGGTGGGAAAGGTCTAGGCAGAAGGAGCGAGGATCGGGGCACGAAAGAATGGACGAGCAGGTGTGGCTGCGTGCTGCGGGTGAGGAGAGCCCAATGAGAGAGAGGGAGGATCAGAAGACGAAAGGTTGGACGCGCAGGTGTGGCTGCGTGATGCGAACGATGCGGGTGGTCGAACGTGTTGGGGCGCGGGCGAAAAGGTACCGCGCTCCAGGTCCCGTTTGAGCTTGCGGAATCTTGCAAGGTCTATCGATTTATCAACGTTGTCGATTGTCGATTGCCTCCTTTTTGCCTGTAGTCAACAGCGGCTTTGCTGGATCCTTCGCACTAAGCCCAAAAGCATCTCCGATGCTTGGGTTCTTGTTCCCAAAAGCATCTCCGATGCTTGGGTTCTCGTTTAGTTTGAGTTTCCGGGGGGGTGAGCGACGGTCGATGCTCGAAAGTTTGGACGATCCGAGGAGCAGGGTGGGGTGGAGCAGGGCGGGGCGATGTCCGGGCAGAGAGGGCGGTGATTTCGCGGAATTGCGCAAAGGTTGGACGAGCAGGTGTGGCTGCATTCTGCCGGTGATGCAAGTGGGAAAGGTCTAAGAGGGAGCGAGGATCAGGAGACTGCGTGCTGCGGGTGATTCGGGTGGGAAAGGTGTAGGGAAAGGGAGCGAAAGGTTGGACGAGCAGGTTTGGCTGCGTGGTGCGAAAGGACGAGCAGGTGCGGGTGATGCAGCGGGTGAGGAGAGGAAAGGCCTAGGGAGAGGACGAAAGGTTGGACGGGGAGGTGTGGGGAGAGTCTAAGGAGAGGGAGTGAGGATCGGGAGACGAAATGTCAGGTGTGGCTGCGCGATGCGGGTGATGCGGGTGTAAAAGGCGCAGGGAAAGGGAGCGAGGATTGGGAGACGAAAGGTTGGACGAGCAGGTGTGGCTGCGTTCTGCGGGTGGGAAAGGAGAGGGAGCGAGGATCAGGAGACGAAAGGTTGGACGAGCAGGTCTGGCTGCGTGATGCGGGTGATGCGGGTGATGCGGGTGTGAAAGGTGCAGGGAGAGGGAGCGAAGAAAACCTAAAAGTGCTGGAGCTTCGTGTGTCCGCAGGCAACCCGATCCTTGTCTGTAAGCGGCCGCCCTTTCTGTACAGGCTTCCTTTGCAACCAAAATGGGGTGGCTTGCCGGCTTTCGCGCTGGTGGTCGAACATGTAGGGGTGCTGGCTCCGGCCAGCAGCCTTCACGAAAAGGTACCTCGCGCCAAATCCCGTTTGAGCTTGCAAAATCTACGAAGATCTATCCATTTGTCATCGTTGTCGACTGCCTCCCTGTTGCTTCTAGTCAACAACAGCTTTGCTGGATTGTTCCCAAAAGCATCTCCGGGCAGATGCTGCAGAAAGGTTTGTCAGCTTGTTTATCCGTTTGTTCTGTAGTAGTTTGGACAACCCAGCAACTGAACACCCAAAAGCAAAACCACAAAGACGCATATGTTGTAAACAACCGCCGCGTGGAAAACCAATGTAATGTGATGACGTGTGTTCTTTGTGGTTTTGCTTTTGGGTTCTCGGGCTCACCTTGTTTTTGCAAATGTTTCTCGCTTGAATTCAAATATTTTGACAGGATAAGCCTGTGGTTCGCAAAGCCTCGTTAGAATTGACTGGTGCAAAGTGCGGTGCTTAGCAGACAAGTCAGCGCTCATCTTTGCCGGTGGCAAGGCTGAACCTTTGGAGAAGCGTCGGTGTCGCCAGGCCTCAGCCATTCCAATTCTACAAGAAGATCCGGGACAATCTTTGAAGCTCCGACATGTAGCTGAGCACAATTGAGCTTTGAATCTCTACATTTGTACGACATGATGTTCTTGTTTTCTTTTGTTTTCTGTGTTCGTTTCGTTGCTAAGGCTACCAGGGAAACTAGTGAAACGTCCTACCCAGAACGAGAGAGCAAGACAGGACTGTGGTACCGTGGAACCGTGAACCTCTACTTGTAAGAGACCGTGAGACATTGAGACCAGAATCCAAGCTCCGACCACAGCTGATCAGCTGATTTGGAAAAGAAAGGATTCTGACGCGAGCTGCAATAGCATGTGTGACGTATTACGTCGCTAACAGGACGTTGCCCACGTACGGTCACGTGATGTCAACGACATAGGCTATCGTGTGCTGTATACCTTGTTTTTTCTTTGGAAGCGTTAAGACTAGAGGAAAATGCTGGCAAAAGTGCTTGGCAAAAGTGCTTGGCAAAATTTTGTGTTTTCCCATATCTATTATATATAGTATAATACTGTTATATAATATTGTACTATTGCCAGTAATCCAGTAACTTAGCTAATGTTATGGCCCGGGCTGGGGTGGGAGGGGCGGCCCGGGGGCCGGGGGGCGGGGACAAGGGAACCACGAGTGGGGCCGGGCACGGCGGGCGCGCTGTCGGGGTATAGAGACCGAGCGAAACGGAAGCTTGCGGGGAACGACCGGGCACGGGGAGAGCAGTTGGGCGAGGACCACTCGGCGGGCTGAACGAGAATCCCCGTTGAGTCCCCGTTGAGTCCCCATTGGGATTGGGGACTCAACGGGGACTCAACGGGCTCAACGGGGACTCAACGGATTCAACGGGGACTCAACGGGGACTCAACGGGGACTCATCGGGGACTCAACGGGGA